AACTGGCCATCTCGAATGAATTGCAAATGATATACTAGTGGCAGAGCGATACGTAATAATAGCGTGAGCAGTTAAGTACTGAACTCAGACTGAAGTATCCTGGGGACAACCTGGGTTTATACAACTACTTTTAAAGTGATTAACACTTCATATCTTTTGTGTTGCCTGAATGGGCTAAACAGTTAATTACATTCCTTTGTTTAAGCTTGTCACAGAACGCTATAACAAAACCAGCACGACAGATCACTCACCATCAGTCCTCGCTAGCTACTCCGCCATCGTAGCCACCGCCCGAGTGTTTTCATCCTGCCACAGAGGGCGCACCTCGTATAACCACTTATGCAAATTAATGTAAGAATAAATAATAAGAATTCATGACATCACTCCCCTTTCAAGAGGAAACTTATAAAGTTTCTGCACAGCACATGAATTCTGTTACATAGTCCTTAAACTGCTCTACTTAGAAAATCAGCTCCATGGTTATCTGAGCCCTTAATACATTCAACGGTAAATCGGTAGTTCTGCAGAAACATTGCCCATCGCATTACTTTGTCATTGATGAATTTAGCCTTGTCAACATACAATAACGGCTGATGGTCTGTCTGGAGAATGAACTGGGTTCCATACAAATACATCATATACTTCTTTACAGACCACACGATCGCCAAGCATTCCTTTTCGATAGTCGAATATGCCTTTTCTCTTTGTGACAACTTCTTGCTAGCATAACTCACAGGGAATAACTTTCCATCATGACCTTGTAACAGGACTGCTGCAATCCCAACATCAGAAGCATCTGTACGTAACACGTAAGGCTTGTGTGAATCATGCAACCTCAATATAGGTTTACTGGTTATTACATGAATAAGAGTTCGGTAAGCCTTCTCTTGTGCTTCTCCCCACACAACTTTGATGGGTTGGCCATTCTTTGTTAAATCAGTTAATGGTACTGCAATAGCTGCATAGTCTTCTTTTTCTCTTCAAGCCCTCTCTCAATCTCTACCCTTTTGAACTCGCGTTCTCTCTGTCTTTCTTCGCGCTCTATATGCAGCGATGTCATGAATTCTTATTATTTATTCTTACATTAATTTGCATAAGTGGTTTTACGAGGTGCGCCCTCTGTGGCAGGATGAAAACACTCGGGCGGTGGCTAAGATGGCGGAGTAGCTAGCGAGGACTGATGGTGAGTGATCTGTCGTTCTGGTTTTGTTATAGCGTTCTGTGACATATGGGGGCTTGTCCGGGGTCTTGTTTTCTTGTGTTATAGGGATCCTGTGGTATTTTATTTATGTTTCTTAAATTTCAAGTGCTGAAGTTAAGCCAGAAAATTTTGAGAAAATTCGCGAACATGTGCTTGCCCCCCCCCCCCCCGAGGTATAGATAGCAAAAAAAAATATCATGTTCTTCAGGCGATAATTTGATCATTGTAGATCACTTGCTGTGACAGTGCTGGTTGGTATCTCTTGGACACCGTACATCTTGCGGGGTAGTGGACTCACGCGTGAAGGTGCTTAGCACTGTGTGTGAAACTATCGAGTTATCAGCTGATGTGTCCGCCTTTTCGAGACTAATTTCTAATTGCTACGGGCATTAGTAGATTTAATGTAATATAATAGTTTTGGCGAGTTTATTGATGATAATTTAATGATTGTCATAAAGGAGTAAATTTGGTAACAATAATCATAATTGTATAGCACTAGGACGCATTGTACGGCATAGGATTAGTCATATTATAATTGTGTTTATTATATTTGGTGGTATATAGCCTAAGGTGTGTCTTGGTCGGTGAGTTTTTGGTGTGTACAATTCCAATTAAAAAACAAAACGGTGAACGTACGTTTCCGGCCACTAGTAGTATTATTGATATTTGAGATTGTGTATCTGTTATTATTATTTTGATTATCTTGGTGTAACTTCGATATGGAGAAATTAATAGAGTCGGGTTCTAAGCTTGGGTTGGAAGGTAAAGATTTGTTAGATTTTGTAACTCAACAGCAGAATATAGAGCGCGAAGAAAGACAGAGAGAACGTGAGTTCAAAAGGGTAGAGATTGAGAGAGGGCTTGAAGAGAAAAAGAAGGCTATGCAGCTTGAAGCTGATAGAAAAAGACAGCAGGCTGAGTTTGAAGAAAATGAAGCTCAGCGAAAACATGAGTTAGAAATGAAACAACTTGAGTTAAAAGGTGCTCTAAGTAGAAGCCCTGATAGTAGGTACACTGATTTAGCAAAATCACCTAAGCTTCCTGCTTTTGTTGATGGGAAGGATGAGTTGGATAGCTATTTGTTGCGTTTTGAGCGTTTTGCCGCAAGCAATGAGTGGGATAAATCCAAATGGGCTACGTCATTAAGTGCGTTGTTAACTGGTAAAGCTTTAGATGTATATTCTAGGCTTTCAGATATGGCAGCATCCGATTATGGGTTGGTTAAAGAAGCTTTGCTAAAAAGATATGAATTGACGGAGGAGGGCTATAGATTGAGGTTTATGAATTTCAAGCCCGAGAATGGTGAGAGTTGTGATCAATGTATAGTCAGGCTGAAAAATTACTTTCTTAAGTGGATTGAGTTGTCTGGTACGAATAGGTCATTTAATGGTGTATGTGACTTGATGATTAAGCAACGGTTTATTGATTCTTGTCCCAGGGATGTATCCATACGCATGCGCGAGAAGCAGCCTAGAACTCTTGATGAGTTGGCTAAGTATGCTGACCGTTACTTAATTGCTCATGACAGGAAGTTGACCTCCCCTTGCGACTTCCCATGTATAAAATCTCAGATGCCGGGTGGTCAGGAAATCAATTCTGATGTTCAGTGTTATAAATGCAAAGAGTATGGTCATATGTCTCGAGAGTGCAAAGTGAGGCCTTCACAGGGTTACGGGGTCAGATGTTATAATTGTGGCCGTTTGGGACACAGATCTGTTACATGTCGATTTTCAACAAGGTTTGGTGATAGGCCTAATGTGAAAAAAGTCGGTGCTGCTGTGGTTGATTTAGGTGGTGATGCAGAACAGGAAAGTGAAAATAGTGCAGTATGTTTAGTGCAACCCAAGTTCACAACCAAGGCTGATATTGAATCTTGTATTGATGGTGGCGAGCTTTTGTTGGCTGGCGGAAAGAGAATACCACTAGTCCATAATGCCTGTTTCCAACAATCTGTTAAATCTAAAACCAAAATGCCTGTGGTAAAAGGAAGGATTGGAGAGAAAGTAGTTACCACATTGAGGGACATTGGCTGTAGTGGTGTGGTAGTAAAAAGAGATTTTGTTAGTGACAACCAGTACACTGGAAAGTTTTGTTGTATGCTCATGATAGATAATACTGCACGTACTGTACCTATAGCTAAGCTTTATGTAGACAACCCCGTATTTCACTGGTGAGGTGGAGGCACAGTGTTTGCCTGATGCTATTTATGATCTAGTCATTGGTAATGTTGAAGGAGCCAGGGCACCAGATGATCCTGACCCACAATGGCAAGAAATGTGTGCAGTGGTTACTCGTGCTATGGCTAAGAAAGGTAACAAAATAGTCCCTCTGTGTGTACCTGACGGGGGTAAGTCATTAGATGTAAGTAAGGCTCAGCTAGTAAAATTGCAGCATGACGATCCATCTCTCAGTAAATATTGGTCCTTGAAGGAACCTAAGTTTAAAGGTAACCAGGAAGTTATGTTTCTGGAGAAAGGCGGTATACTATACAGACAGTTTACTCATCTTCATGTGAATCAGGGTAGGTCTGTTAAGCAGATGGTTGTACCTATGCCATTGCGTAACCAGGTCATGATGTTGGCGCATGATTCGATAACGGGAGGGCATATGGGCGTAAAGAAAACTAGTGATAGAGTTCTGAGCAATTTCTACTGGCCAGGAATACATGGTGACATAACAAGATTCTGTAGATCTTGTGATATTTGCCAGAGAACGGTACCTAAAGGTAAAATTGCAAAAGTCCCCCTTCAGAAGATGCCACTGATAGATGTGCCGTTCAAAAGGGTTGCTATTGATTTAGTTGGTCCTATTCACCCTCCTAGTGAAAAAGGTCATAAGTACATCTTGACATTAGTAGACTATGCTACCAGGTATCCAGAGGCAATACCCCTGAAACATATCAGTACAGAGGATGTAGCTGAAGCACTGGTTGATATGTACAGTCGCCTAGGTATACCAGAGGAGATTCTACATGACATGGGAACTCAGTTCGTGTCAGAGTGTATGTGTGAAGTTTCTCGTCTGTTGAGTATTAGACAACTGTCAACCACCCCTTATCATCCAATGTGTAATGGCCTGGTTGAAAAGTTTAATGGTACGTTAAAAGCAATGTTGAAGCGTTTGTGCAGTGAGCAGCCAAAGCAGTGGCACCGCTACATCAATGCATTGTTATTCGCCTATAGAGAAGTGCCCCAAGAATCAACAGGTTTTGCTCCATTTGAGCTGATGTATGGGAGGACTATCAGAGGTCCTATGCATATTTTGAAGCAACTCTGGACGACAGAGACTGAGGAACCAGAAATTAGAAACAGTTATCAGTATGTGTTTGAGTTAAGAGAGCGCTTGGACGAAACACTGAAAATTGCACAGGTAGAGATGCAGAAATCCCAGCAACGGTACAAGCACTACTATGATAGGAAGGTGAAAGTCAGAAGGTTTCAACCTGGACAAACGGTTCTTATTCTACTACCAACTGATAGTAACAAGTTATTAATGCAGTGGAAGGGGCCATATGAAATTGATAGTGTGATTGGTGTAAATGACTATAGAGTAAAGGTACGTGGAAAGTACAAAACTTATCATGCTAACTTGCTGAAGAAGTATATTCAACGAAATGAGCAGAGTAGTGAAGCTGATGACAATCTGCCTGTCTTGGGCATTGCTAGTGCAGCTGTCATAGAGTATGAAGAGTCTTTAGATGAAGACGCTGTACAGGATGATGACTTGTTGGTGCTGAATTCTTGCATGTCAAAGGAGTCAGTAGCTGACGTGAAGTATGGCAGGAACCTGACTCATGATCAGGAGCAATCAGTTCGCTGTCTAGTGCACGAGTATAAGCACATATTTACAGACCTACCTGGCACTACCAACCTTATCCAGCATCGTATTCAACTGAGAACCGATGAACCTATAAGATCGAGGCCTTACCCGGTGCCATATAGTGTACGAGAGTCTTTGAAAGAGGACATTCAAAGTATGTTGAAGATGGGAGTTATAAGAGAAACCGAATCCCCATACGCATCACCTGTCGTGATAGTACGCAAAAAAGATGGATCGAATCGTATATGTATTGACTACCGAAAACTAAACAAGGTAACAGTGTTTGATCCAGAGCCAATGGTGACGCCAGATGATATGTTCCAAGATCTCAGTAAAGACAAGTACTTTACTAAGGTGGATCTTAGTAAGGGGTTTTGGCAGGTTCCTGTGGCGGGGGAGGACATACACAAAACAGCTTTTGTTACCCCAGATGGTACCTACGAGTTTTTGAAAATGCCATTCGGAATGATGAATTCTGGTGCAACCCTGGTCCGTGGTGTCAGAAAGATGTTGAGTGGGATGTGTAAGGTGGTTAGTTATGTTGACGATATTTTGGTTCACACCATCACTTGGTGTGAGCATATAACTACACTCAAAGAGTTGTTCAGCAGGATGGCTGATGCTCAGCTTACTGCTAGACCATCCAAGTGCATAATAGCTTCTGATGTTATTGATTTCGTCGGTCATCGAGTTGGTCAGGGTTTTCTGAGTCCACACGAGGATAATGTAAAAAAGGTTAGAAATGTTCCTCGGCCCATGACTAAGAAGGAAGTCAGGTCGTTTCTTGGTCTAACTGGATTTTACAGGGAGTATATACCTAACTATGCAGCTATTGCAGTACCATTAACTGATTTAACAAAGAATGGCCAACCCATCAAAGTTGTGTGGGGAGAAGCACAAGAGAAGGCTTACCGAACTCTTATCCATGTAATAACCAGTAAACCTATATTGAGGTTGCATGATTCACACAAGCGTTACGTGTTACGTACAGATGCTTCTGATGTTGGGATTGCAGCAGTCCTGTTACAAGGTCATGATGGAAAGTTATTCCCTGTGAGTTATGCTAGCAAGAAGTTGTCACAAAGAGAAAAGGCATATTCGACTATCGAAAAGGAATGCTTGGCGATCGTGTGGTCTGTAAAGAAGTATATGATGTATTTGTATGGAACCCAGTTCATTCTCCAGACAGACCATCAGCCGTTATTGTATGTTGACAAGGCTAAATTCATCAATGACAAAGTAATGCGATGGGCAATGTTTCTGCAGAACTACCGATTTACCGTTGAATGTATTAAGGGCTCAGATAACCATGGAGCTGATTTTCTAAGTAGAGCAGTTTAAGGACTATTTAACAGAATTCATGTGCTGTGCAGAAACTTTATAAGTTTCCTCTTGAAAGGGGAGTGATGTCATGAATTCTTATTATTTATTCTTACATTAATTTGCATAAGTGGTTTTACGAGGTGCGCCCTCTGTGGCAGGATGAAAACACACAGGCGGGGACTAAGATGGCGGAGTAGCTAGCGAGGACTGATGGTGAGTGATCTGTCGTTCTGGTTTTGTTATAGCGTTCTGTGACACCTAGAATTAGTGAAATCCCAACACGTAAAGTAAATACAATGCATCGTGCACTCACGATGTTTCTTATTCGATGTGAAAGAAATTTTGAAGGTGTGAAAACATTCAAGCGCAATACATATAACTATCAAACGCAATTTCATTCGAAGTAGGCATCAATATTTGTTGCTTGGTGGCGTCATTTACCATATAAAACGATTTTGGTATTCATATTTTTCACTTGGTGGCGACATTTACAATCTAAAACGATTGCGGTATTCATATTTGTCGCTTGGTGGACACATTTACAAAATAAAACGATTACGGTATTCATATTTGTGACTTGGTGGCGATATTTACAATATAAAATGATTTCGGTATACATATTTGTCACTTGGTGGCGATATTTACAATATAAAACGATTCAACGATCGCGGTATTCATATT